TCTCAAAAAGAGAGGGATTCCACTGTGTTCAAGGTGCTTTCTATGCGGGGAAACAGCCGAGACAATCAGCCATCTATTTCTTCACTGCACGACAACAGATCAACTATGGAAAATCTTTATTAATCTCAGAGGTATAGCTTGGACAATGCCTAGTAAGATTACTGAAGTGCTTTTTAGCTGAGATGAAGCTGGAGCTGGAGCAAGAGACAGAGATAGATGGAGGACTGTCCCAGCATGTATTTGGTGGACAATCTGGAAAGAAAGGAATTCTAGATGTTTTGAGGACAGTAGCAACTCAGTACAAAAGATCAAACTAAACTGTGTTTTACTTTTTTGTTTTTGGTGTAAGCAAAGCTACACAGGACACTATGTCAATCCTAGATATTCTAGAACTTTGCTAGGACTGCATAGCAGAACTTTTCTTTTCTTTTGCCTTCTTGTAAATATGGTTTCAGTACAACCTATGTACTGAGTTGATTAATATATACAAATATGTTACCATCTCAAAAAAAAAAAAAAGTTCAAAGGGTGCAAGCAAAGCTGAACTTGAAAGCTAATACTAGAAACCATCGTATTACCTGAAACCAAGGCAGGTGGTGCTATTCTGTCCGAGGTAGAGACAGCTTCAAGCTCTGCGACTTCTGATATTTCCACCGAGTTGTCAAACTCTGTTGCTGAAGTTGGTTGAATACACAGGCTGTTTTTCCGGCATAATTCACAAACATAAGAAGAATCCTTCTCCTGCAAAACAGGAAGTACATTTAACAGAAGGAAGATAGAGGTGAAGAAAAGATGACAAAACAATCAAAAAGGAAATACTCCTTAGATAACCAAACAGAGGTGACTTCCAAAATGGTTGAGACAAGACCATTATGTTAAAGTAACAATGCAATACTTGGAACTCTGAATATTTGAAAAGGGTATATGGATGTCACATCAAAATTCAATAAAAAAGCAATATTATTACATTAATTGATTTTTTTTAAAAAGTTGACTGCTATTTTAAAGAAGAGGTCATTCTTTGTGGGGCAGATGAAAATATGAAGCAAGTAAATGAAAGGGAGGTAACTGCAGTATTAATAAGCCCAAAGCACAAATAAGGTACTTCTAACTGAAAGGCAGTTATCTATTAGTTCGCCGAAAGTCCAAACAAGCATAGAAGTGAAGATAGGCCCTTAGTCATCAATTATTTAGGAGAATCAACCTAAAACTACATAATAGGTATGCATGTCCATCATCAAGGCATCTGATGGGAAGAAGCGAAAAATTGCTAAAATTTATCAATGGATAGGCCTAGAGGCATACAATGCAACAAGCATAGGTTGAGATCTACCAGTTAACCATCAAAGAGGAATGGTTCATGCCCCCATCACTCTATATATACCGTGCAATAACAGTTCTACTGTTCAAGTACTACACAAGATCAAGTATGCTTTGAATTTCTGAGATATGAAATAGTTTTAAGAACCCAACTAAGCTAATGCAATTAAGAGGCTTGATCAATCTTCCTAGTGATACTTACCCGGCAATTATCACAGACTAATACAAGCATCCTACAGTATGTGCACCGGCTCCGTGAGGAGTAATCATCAAATGGAGAATTACAGAGAAGACAAGTACCCAAAATTCTTGAATCTGAACTTCCAACTGAAACCCTGCCAAGACCAGAAAGTGTAGGGCAAACATTGAGAATGCCTCCTATGGATACTCTACAAAGGAAGTAAATGAACACCACACACAACATTTCTAGAAGAGTATTATGGCATGGTTATTGACACGGAAAAAGGTAAATTTCTGGTAATATGCATTTTTTGTAATACACACAGAGAGAGAGAGAGAGAGAGAGAGAGAGAGAGAGAGAGAGGTATCGAGTTAAAGACCTACATATGCTTAATGTGCTAACATGGAGAGCCACATTATATGTTATTTTATGGTTCTTACCTGTGAGATAAAAAGCAGCTACACATATATTTTGGATAGAGAGTTTCCTAGTACTAATGAAGTTGTAATCACATCCGTAAGAATGCTGGATCACTGAAACCAACAATTCAAGTAGGGATTGACTAAGAACCACTGAAATACAGTGACCATACCTGTGGTCAAAGACAAAATTCTTTCCTTTGAAAAAACCACCATCAGGAAATTGCTCCAGATATCGTTGAATCCCACCATAAAGCTGTGGAAAGTAAGTACTCTGAATCAACCTTCAACATAATTTAGCCCACAAACCAGAATTTACCCACAGTTCAAAATCCCAATGATCATGAAATGGAATAAAAGTGGAATTTAAAATGAACCTGGTTGTTCCGCAAAAGAAATTCTTTAGAAAGCATAACATAGATATTTCAAAACATGGCCATCCATTGCATTTTGAAGTCTCTGTCTTACCATGGCAAAGCTTAAAAGATCAACTTCATGGTTTCAAAAAAAAATTCAAAAAACTAACCATTAACACAAGGTTAGGGTTCCAAATTCAATAGAATTTCACTTAATAAAATAGAAATCATAGTTTAATTTATTTTTCAATGTAGCAACAATACCAAAGAAAGACACAACAACATTAAAAAAGTGCACCAGAAGGGTCTGATTCTCCTAAAAGTTTACCTGGAAAACATTTTCAAAGCCGGCACCTTTAGACCTGATATAGGCTGATGCCATCTCGCATCTAATTCCTCCAGTACAATACCTGAAAACACATTAATGAGTGATAGGAAACCCAGATGCTCAGTCAACAGTGGAGTGTAGATCAATACTAGAATGCATGCAATTCATAGAGTGTTATATCTGATAATTAAGAGTTTGCGTGCTGCTATTTTACATCTTAACTCTGAATTAAATGCAATTTAATACAATATACTTTGCAACTTTTCATCCGTTCCCCCCACCCCCACCCCACCCCCCAAAAAATCCTAATATTCCTAAAGAAATATCAAGATTAACAATATCCTAAAATGCATGCAAGTTACTCAGCATTATCTTCTACTAATTAAGCATCTACATGATGCAGTTTTACATCTGAATTCTGAATTAAATGCATTTTACATAATATCAATTGGAAATTCAGTCCATCTTTTCCTCCTAATAGTCCTAAAGGAACTTTCTTTACACCAAATAATATACTGATAGTAATGTACAGGGTCTAGCCATATCCAAGAAAAAAAGGAGAAAAACATTTTTTTTTAAAAACATGCAAGAGGAAAGGAAAAGCATGGAAGATGTTGCAACTAGACAGCAGACACAATATGTCTTACACTTAATAGTTGAAGTTGTACGATTATCGACGAAAGGAAACAAGTTTTTAATTCTCTACTCTATAATAACATGAAGGCACAATGCCGCAGATTCGAAGTTCACAATACACATCACCTGGAAAGTAACATAAAACCAATGAGAGATTGGAAATTTAAAGGGAACAAAATAGTGAATCAGGATAGCAGCAAGGCTTTAACTGAGTAGAAGTAAGCCCATATGCAGTTTCTTCACCATGTAAGACACATATGATACCATTGAATAAAAATGCAATATCACAAAATCACAAGAAAGAACATAAGAGAAACATTCCCTGCAATTCATCAGAATAATTATCCACCCAAATATGATACAATATGGTCAAGCAATACTTACATAAGAATATTGTTCCCACGCAACTTCTCAGAGTTATTATCTATCCAAGAAGGAAGGTCGCTGTACTGCCGGATTTCTGGATCCAAAGTCTCCACATTTGGTGTATAGAACTTCCCAATTCTAGTCTCATATAAATTCCTTGCATCCATCAGGACTATTCCGTTACTGCTGCTTGGAATCAGTTTGTCTTGCGTGTTCCCTAATAAATTACTGAGAATTAAACAGCTGCCAGAGAAATATACACATTCGTTCTACAAAAGTTCAATGTCCAAACATCAGAACATCATAGTTAACTTAGAAGAACATGGATTAAGCTTCGTCAGAGAGGTAGAGTACAAACCAATATTGTGAAGGACAGAGTGGAATTCAACTGCAGAGAGATGCTTCCCCGCATTTGAAATTTCAGGTGACTTTTGCAGGGGACAGGAACTTAAAGTTACCAATTCCTGAGTGAGAAGATGAGGTTAGTATCACATGGAAGGAAAGAGAGAAAGAGATAAAGACAAACAAACTTCACTAAAAGTCAATTACTCAACAAACATTAGCCAGATTTTCCTCTTCATAGAAAAAAATCCAACATGTTTATTGTTTTTTTTTATAAGGTAAAATTGTATTAATCCAACATGTTTATTGTTATGATATATGCTTACACAGTTCCAATTTTTTCAATCTATGTGCTCTCTTTATTACGTAGCATAGACCAAGTTCAACATCCTGTTTATAGTAACTTTCACTCCATAGAGAAGTCCTCTCCATTACATCCAAAGATTTGCTGGCCATGATAAATGGATGGCTGACGCTTGCAGCATTTCACTTTCTTTAGCAAACACCCAAATTAGCCACACCCTAATTGTATTTTGGTTCGAAATATCAGCAATATCTTGTGAATGTGGAAGATGCCAGTTGAATACCGAGACCCACAATGGCGCTTAAGCTAGATAGGACCAAGAAAGAGTAGAATCACAATTTCACGATAGCCTACTTCTGCATTGCTCAAATGGTCTGCAGCAAGGGCTTTGGTTCAAAGGTAAGGATGTAGTTCATGAAGTATGGGTTAGGAGCATGTCACGGGTTCAAATCTTACCGTGAACAAAAGCCGGATATTTAAGTTAGAAATAGGGTAGAAGGGCAGGCCATACTCCCCGGAGTTTCAAACTTGATACCTGAGTGTGTCGTAGGCCCAGTGTTATCAAAGGCAAAAAGCGTTAAAAAGCGGTCCAAGTATATCGGGGCTTTAAGCGCAAAGCACAATTAAAGTGTGGGCTTTAGTTAACAAGAGCGCAACGAAGAAAAAAATAAAAATATATATGTAATGCAAAGTGACATTTTCATTCATAATGATTTCCTTAATAATTTTATTTTTTTTTTGCCAACCATATTTCTTCTTTTGTGCCGCTTTATTTAAGATAGAACTTATAGGTAATGAGGTGTATGCCTTAGTGTCTTGCCTACATTGAAGCGCAGCCTAAGTGAGGCAAAGTGCATACCCTGAGCTTTTTTGAGCTTCAGGGCTTAAGCGTCCTCAAATGAGCCTTTGACAACACTGCGTAGGCCCATATGCAATTTATACGAAACGTTGCTACAATGGTTTTTCTTAACAAAGAAGAATCATCTAAGGCTTCTGGAAGAGATCGTGCTAGCTGCTCGTTACCTATGTTCCTTAGCAAGTTATATGGTTTAGGAAAAATATCAATAGAGGTATCAAGATTAAAAGTTCAAGTAGCTATAATTAAACAAATTCATTGTAGTATTTTCTTTTTTCTTTTTGGACAGATCAAACTTCTGTTATAGTTCAAATTTCTAATAGCTATATTAGAAACAAATGCAAGTTCACCTTCTTAATACTCTATATGACTAAGGAACTTCTTGATTTAAAAAGTTGACTTAGGAGCTTGTAGGTTGTAGTATATCCCAAATCCAATCCGAACTTCTACCAAAAATGTGGACTTGACTGATTGGTCCCTTTAAGTTACTAATAAGTTTGTGAAATGTAACCGTGAAGGTGCAAATCAATAACAGGGAGGAGCAATTAACATGCAATCTCTCCCAATTGCTCCAATTGCTGAGCAGGGTCAATGCCAATTGCCCACACACATTATGCCCTTTAATTCTATCATACCCCTAAACACGGGCAAGTTTTTCATTCAATTTAGGCTCTAATTTGTATCTGACACAACTAAAATTTCTGAAAGTTTCGACCTTTCCAAACCACTAACTAGAATCAATCATATAACTTCTTTCTGCAAATGAACACAGACAAAAAAGAACAAAATGAAATTAGGGAACCAACCTTAACAATACGTATGGAGAGGGAAGTAAATCCACATTCCTTGGCGACCCTATCGTTCGAAGGTTCATGACAAGAGGCAAGCTTGAAGTCCGTGCCTTCAAACAAGGAATTCAACTTCACTGCAACAATATGCTCCTCCAAAGCAGATAACTTGCCACCAACCTGCAGGAAACCACCTAAATAGCTCAGAATCATCATTTTGGACAATTAAGGGTTTTCATTTTCCATTTTCAATGGCGAAAAGAGAGGGATTACAGTGACGTTGACGCCATTGGGAGAGAGGCGAACACGACCGAGGAGGGAAAGAGTGTTACAGTTGGATTCATAGAAGTTGAACAGTTCTTGGAGGTCGGGAATGCTAGTGTATTTGTAGTATAACAACACCCCGTATTCTTCTACTTCTTCCTGCTTTTTTGGTTCCTGATTCGCCATTGATGACGCGAGGCTTTCTTCGGATATTTGCTTAAACCCTTGTTCTTCGTGATCGTGCAAGTCCTTCTTCTTTGGTTTATTGCGAGTTAGCCCCCTGAATTTGTTGTAACCTTGTAGAATTTGGTTGCTCTCTTGGGTACATTAGAAAAGGTAATCTCCACATAACATATTTGTTACTTGGGGTGTGAATTGCTCGGTTCGGCCGCTTATTTCATAAAATTTATACCATACTAATTATTTGGTTATTTTATTATATATAGCAAAAATTAGACTTTTCGAAACCGTCCCAATCATGTCGGTATCTTTTCAGTATCGGTACAGTTCGATTAATTTTTGGTATTTTTTTTTTAAATGTCATGCACAAGTCACTGGCAGGAGACTTAACAAAACTATCTGCACATTTTTACAGTTTAAAAGGTGACGAACTATGAAAATATGAAATATGCATCAACTATTCTACAGCAGCGTAAAAGAAATTAAGAAATACAAAAAAAAATATATAAATCACATAAGTGGAAAGATATTAATCAAGGTGGGGCTCAAGAATAAAGTATATGGAAGATTAAATATTCAAAAAGATAAATTTAAATCATACGAAATAAAGCATATTCAATACATTGTAGTTTGCTACTCATAATCGCCACAATACCATGTGTCTTACTATTGAATATACTGGAAATAATTTAGCTTCAACAACAATAGCATATTATATGGGGGTGAGTATTGGCCAGTCAAGATCGCTCATGTCCAGAAGATGAAGGTAGCAGAGATGAGGATGTTGAGATGGATATGCGGGCACACTAGGCTAGATAGGATCAGAAATGAGGTTATACGTGATAAGATGGGGGTGTGGCCCCTATTGAGTAAAGGATGCGAGAAGCGCGACTTGGGTGGTTTGGTCATGTGAGGAGGAGGAGCACGGACGCCCTAGTGATAAGGTGTGAGAGGATGACATTGGAGGACCTATGGAGAGGTAAAGTTAGACCAAATAAGAGGTGAGGAGAGGTGATTAGGCAAGACATGCGCAACTTCAACTGACCGAGGACATGCCCCTTGATAGGAAGGTATGGAGGTCGAGAATTAGGGTAGTAGAGTAGGTAGTCTATAGTGTTCATAACAGTAGTATTGGCACACAGTCTCGCTTTCTGTTGGTAGTAGGTTTTTATGACTAAACATTGTTTTCTTTCATAGTTGATCACCTTACTATCTTGTTATTTTTATTCTGCTTTTATATGATTTTTTGGTACTGTCACTTTTTGTCTATATTTCATTAATGTGGTGCTTATGATTTCATGAGTCGATGGTCTACTGGAAACATGCTCTCTTCCTCACAAGGTAGGGGTAAGGTCTGCATACACACTACCCTCCCTAGATCCCATATTGTGAGATAATACTGGATATGTTATTGTTGTTCGTTATAGCAGTAGCATAATAGGTTTGGGAATTAGCATATCGAATTTAATTACTTGTTGGCTTGTAATTGTTTTATAATTCTAAGGCCAAAGGAAAAAATTAATGCTTTATTATTTTTAAACTTAATATATAAATATATATTTTCACGTTGTAAATTTATTCAGTATGGTTTTTTTTTTTCCGGTTTATTTTCATAAAATAAAAAACTTATCATAATTATCGATACGGTTATAGATTTATATAAAACCTACGGTTTTATTAAAAGAAACTAAAAAATCGATTCGGTATGGTACAATTAGGTCGGTTTAGTCGGATTTTAAATATTCCTTGACAGCTGTAATGTTGCTAATACTTAATATGATCATTTGATTTCATTTTTTTTCCACACAAAACTATTATTCATGTAATGTTTGGTTCCAATTTTTTTTTAAGCTGTGAGGGTAAAAATTAAAATAAGTAACCTTTTTTGTAATGATTGATATTTCATTTTATCAAGGAAAAAAAATACAATTTAAAATACTTGCTCCAAAATTTGCAAATTCAATTCTTTTATTCAATTTTTTATTTGGATATGAAATATATTAAACCACAATAATATATTATATTTAGTTCTTCTATTATTTGATACAATTCCACGCTTTGGAATATACAATCTCATCCACCATAATGCGAAAACTATGTTCACTAAACTCATTATATTTTTCCAATCTCTGAACTTATGATTGATCACGACATCTATATCGTAATTCAAACAAATTATTCATTAACATGGTCATCGAAAACCAACAATATCTCGTGCATACATATACAATATTTTACTTAAGGATTCTACCTGCGACACACTTCCATCTTTCATACTATACTAGTATTTTATTGTCTTCCCTTAGGACCCTTTACTTTTTTTATTATGTGATAAATAGTACTCCTGGTGACTCATATATAATAAGAAAGACCAAAAATCAGCCTGTTATTTTTTCCTTAACGTGTCTTAAAAGCAAAAACCAAGAATAACCCAAAGTTAGTTTCACAACCCATTCCCACTGGCCCTCGCACTGTCTCTTGCCGTTTATATTCTTCAAAATCTCACCCCATCAAAAGATTCTCTTCCCTTCTCTCTCTCTTAATCTCACTTTTCCAGTTTCCACTTTCTTTCTTCTTCCAAATTTCCACTGAGAGGGAGAGGGAGAGGGAGAGGCATTATTATCCCCCCAAACCCCCTCAATTTCAAGAAAATGTCTCTTCGACCCGGCACTCGAACTGAAGTCCGCAAGAAATCTTACAAAATTGGGGTTGATGCAGATGAAGCCCGTAGAAGAAGAGAGGACAATTTAGTGGAGATCAGGAAGAACAAGCGCGAAGACAATCTCCTCAAGAAGCGACGTGAGGGCCTTCTTCTTCAGTCCCAACAATTACCTGATGCCCCTGCCGCTATTGAGAAGAGGGTAATGTGTATTTTGAACTCTTAATTACGATTTTTATAAACCCTTTTGTGTTTTATGCCACGTAATGTTTTAAAGTTTTGATCTTTGTGATGTCTGATTCTTGATTTGATTACTTTTGGAGCTAAGAAAAAAGTTTGTATTTTTTGCCATTTTCTTTTGACTATTTCCGAGTTGGGTATTGTGATTTTACCGGTAGAGCTTAATTAAGTTGACTCCACTTATTAGTCCACCTTTTCTTTATGTGTTGTGATTGAGATCGTGCTTGTTTGCTTGGAATATTTTAGCAATAAGCAAGAGAAATGCCAGATATTTGGAATTTGATTATTCTTTTTCTTGGTACTACAGAAAATTATGTGGCGACTTGCGCGTATTACAGTACTTCTTTAGAGCTATGCAGCCCTTGATTACCAGTGGGATCAATAATGAACTCCTTATAATCATACACTTGAACAAATTTGACTAGTCAGTCTAAAAAAAAAGCTGTAGCATATTCTTTTTGTGTAAAGAGAAAATGCTAGCATGTATAGGTTATCAGAACAAGTTATTATTGACTGTATGTTGTTTTGCACGATCCTAGCATGAAATAAATGAAATTATCTTTTGATTTATAAATTTTTTAAAGTATTTGCCAAATTTCAATATGCTGATCAAATTGTTGGAGTGTAGACCAAGTACGATGGTGGAAGGGAGCGCTAGCAAGACTTAGACAGAGATAAAGAATGTACCCATACTTTAATCAAGGACTTAAAAATATGAACATACAATATTGAACACAAAATATCTATGTAGAGAATTTAGTTACAATTTTCAGCATATTATTGATAGAACTACGATCTTAGCACATCATATCAGTACAGACGTGAATTTCAATTGAAAATGTAGTCAGTAAAGAATGATTTTCAAAAGAAATATTCAGTAAATAATGCCACAACATGATGAGGAAAAATAATCAAGTAACTGTAGAATGAAGAGATCAGAAGCAGAAGATGAGAGATGCTAGCATAAGTGCAAAAAGAAATGTATTATTTGGCAAGTTTGGTTCTCGAAATTAAGAAGAGGAACGGAAATCAGTAAGTCCTTTGGGCTTACATAATTTAACCCCTTTTCTTTGATGTAAAAGGTAACATTAGTTTTATAAGGAAACACCATATCATGCTGGGAATACTCTGACGACTGTGGATTCTTGAAACACATTAAAGGTTTACCGATAACTATCTATGGAATTGTAAAAAGTTTGGAATAAGGACAGGTGGAATGTATTTGAGTGATTAAAGATGATACTATCGTCCTTCCCTTCCCCTGATCTTTTTATTATTATCTCGGTCCACCTCTAACTTTTTTTTTTTT